AACACCCCAAAATGGCTGGACAGAGACATTTCAAAATGAGGCAAAACACCTCAAAACATCCAGGCAGAGACACCTGAAAACAGCCATAAAGAGGTAACTCAAAATGCACAGAAATGCCCCAAAATCTGAAGGAAATGACCCAGAAGCCGAGGCAGACACCCCCTAAAAGAGCCAGGCAAAAACACCTGAAAAAGCAGAAAATCATCCCAAAATGGCCAGGCAGAAACACCCCAAATTGACCAGGATGAGACGCCCCGAAATGAGGAGAAATGCCCCAAAATAACTGGACAGAGACGCCCCAAACCCCCTAAAAATGGATAAACTCCCCTTTCCCGGGGCTCTGAACCCTTGGGAGGGACCCCCAAAGCAAAGGGGGGCCCATCCCCCCTCCCCACATCCCGTCCCAAACTCGCTCAAACTCCCCAAACCGCCCCAAAATGACGCCGTCGGAAAAAGCAGCTCAACCCCCCCCGAAAAGCTGCGAAATGGCCCCAAAATGGCCCCAAACCCCTAAAAACCGTTCAAAAAGGGCAAAACCCCCAGACAAACCCCCCCTTCCCCCCCTCCCCGCACCCCCATATTTCGGGAGGGGCTTTTTCCACCCACAGGCCCCGAGTTTTGCCCTTTTTGTCACCAAAACAGCCCTGAAACCCGCTGGGTTAATGTCACTTTTTTGATGCTTTCCAGTCCCGAATTTGGCGGGTTTTACCCCAGAGCGGCTGCGGGTGCAGTGCCCGGGACCCCTCCCCACTTTTGGGGGGGGCTTTTTTCTCCCCCTCCCCGGGACTTCCCCGGCTCGAAGCGACGTGAAACTCTCCCTGAGCCGGCAGGAAAAGGGAGGGGGGATTTTGGGGTGGGGGGTGGAACAGACGCGGCCACCTCGGGGCTCTGCTCCCCACCCCCCTCAATCGACCCCCTCCCCACGGGGCCCCCCAGCCCCTGTGCCCACGTGTGGGGCCCCTCCTGTGAAGACCCTCAAACCCTCCCTCGTGCCACGTGTGGGGGCTCAGCCCCCCCCTAAAGCCCCCCTCTCCCCCCCCCCAAATCCCGCTCACCGGCTGCACCCCGAGTGCTGCCCGCCCTGGCACCCCGCTTTTTATGCCCCCCCCGGTGATGTCAGAGACCCCTCCCACACCTGGGGGGGTCCTGGGCCCCCCCCCAAAATCCTCCACACCTCCCCCCTTCCGCCCCCTCCCCATGGGGGGGCAGCGGCACCGCCCCAAACTTTCACTTGTTTGGGAAAGGAGGTTGAGGCTCCTTTTATGGGGGGGGGGCAAAGAGACTCCCCGTCACCCCTCGGGGGGTGCAGACCCAGACCTTTAACCTCCTGCCCAAGGCTCCCCAAATTTCCAGGACCCCCCAAACAGCCCTCAGTTGTTGGGGGGCACCTATGGCCCCCCTCGAGCCGGGGAAACGCCCTTCACCCTAACATCCCCCCCAAGGGGCACAGACATCGGGGGTCCCCTCTTTGCCCCCTCCGGACCCTGAGGATACCTGAGACTGGAGGGGGTGGCTTTTAACACCCAATCCCAAAGACCCTCACTCGCTGGGCCCCCCAGTCTGCAGGACCCCCCGAACATCCCTCGAGATACCCATGGGGGGGGGGGCAGGAACCGTTTGACCCTCAACACTCCCCCCATCTCCAGGACCCCCCAAAACACCACTGAGGAGACTGAAGAATCCGGGGGAGGCCACGATTCCCATCCCCCACCCCGGGGACCCCCACCTCGCGACCCCACCCTCATAATCAAAGCCCCGCCCACTCAACGATAAACTCCGCCCAGCTTATCAAAGCCACGCCCACACCTCCCTAGGCCCCGCCCGCGGCTCAAGACCCCGCCCCCACAGTCCCAGCCGGTCCCACCCATTCCCTCAGGCCCCAACCATTCCCCCCACCCCATTCCGTCGGGCTCCGCCCCCTCGCAGCGGCCCCGCCCATTCAATTAGACCACGCCCCGCGTCCCCCCGCAGG